GGAGACACTGCTGTGGGTGTAGCATCAATTTGCAGTGGTGTGATGAGGAAAAGCAAATGCAAGGAAATTAGTTGTCTTTCACCTTATGGGATGAAAATGCCCAGGGATGATGTCAAATTAATTAAGTTCATCATGTCTCAGCAAAGGCCATTCAGCAGTTTGTATGATCAAGGATCAAATTACTCCTTGCTAGAAAAAGTAGTATTATTATGGGTAATGTGTGGGTCATCACAGCAGGTGTGGAGCTTTTTTTTGGGAAAGGGATGATTCTTGGCATAGCTGGATTCCTGGATGCTGGATTTCTGACTAGATTCAGCAACCTGAATATTTTTTTTACAAGATTCACTCAGCTCCCAGGGCAGAAGTGGATGTGATTTTAGATCCCAGCAGTTATGAAAATTTACATGGAATTTCTTTCTCCACTCTGCACTCCAGAATATGACTCCCTCCACTGACCACATCTGCAATCTGCTTCCCAGCTTTCAGCCCCTCCCACTTGGAAGTCACACCAGTGTGTCCCCCCGAGCACATTGCAGGGCAGAAAGCCAATAAAATCCCACTAAAGGTAAGTCTGGGAGAGTATTTTTAATCCAGAGCATCTCTCCTTTCTTTTCCCTACTTGTACACCAAATTCAGCAGTGGAGTGATGGGAATACTTTGTCATCACAAACATATATTATTTCTGTGATGTGTGTTAGTACATAGTAATGAAAATATGTTTTCCAAAGGCACAGTTGCTTTTTTCCCCTTTGCTGTCACTATAACACTCTTCACCAAGATAAAAGGTTTCCTTCCCAACTACCTCAAAAAACAAAAAAAATAAAGTCTGAGTAATGGGAATGACAGAACTCGTGTAATTGTTCCTGCTTTGCATGCTTCCAGGCTGATTGCCTGAACTATGGCTGATCCAGATTCCCACTGAAGCCCAGGAGGGTTTTTGCACTGAAACAGCAGTTTGGTTTTAGAGGACCTATTTTGAGGAGCAGACCCAAAGCCAGGTGAGTGGAAGCATTGCCACATGGCTGTGGTGGAATGAGGACAATTTAACCCTGCTGAGGATGAGGCTTGGTAGTTTCATGCCTTATAAATGGTCACTGCTGCTGCATTTGGGCATATTTATGCGCAAAATTAAGGGTTTTTTTTTTTCTTTAGAGGTTAATCTATCTACATCCTTCTATATATATCTATATATATATCTATCTATCTCACCAAAGGAATTCCAGAGGCTGAACAAACTCTTATCTCCCCCTTGTTTTCATACACATGTAACTCTCCTTTGGTCATTTCACCTTTCCATTATTTGAGAATACTTTTCTCTTAAAAAATATCGAACCAGTACTTTTTGGATGGCGTGCACAGGTTGGAATACCCAGCCATTCCTGGGCCTGGCAGTGACAGACACTGTTGACTTGCAAACTCTCTTTGTCAGGCAGCTTGTACCAAAATGTTTGCAATTATGTGTGCCCAGGTAACAGGCTATTTTATGTATTTGCTTAGCAGGAATTTTTGCAGATGATCAGCTAATTCATTGGAGCATGATGTCTTATGTTGACTTTTGGACTAGACCAAAACACAACATTTATATTTTCATATGAGGCCTTTCTGTCCCTGCACAGAAGAATGCATGGCCCTGCAATCACCCAGCAGCTACCAATGATGAATGATGGACAATAATGGTGGACTCTGCTTTCCAATCTCCAGGACATTCTCCTCAGCATGCTCAGAATTTGACAACACTGCTGGCATCTCTGGGAGAGGCAGCCCATGAGATGGACACAGGAGCAGCATGTTAGGGGTGTATTATTGCTTGTGAAATGGAAGATAATTCTCCATCTTTCTAATTGGCAGATGTATGGGCACATTTCTCATCAAAGCAGTTATTAAAATGTTCTATTTTCCCTTCAAAACCTGTGAGATAAAGCCATTAATGTAGAAATACCAGTTGTTCCCCTTGTAATGGAATTTAACTGAATGATGACCATTTACATGTAAGAGATTCATACTGAAACCCTCAGAACTGGAAGGATCTGCAGACTGTGGTCTCTTCAGTCTGCATTAACGCCCTCAGAGTTGGTTTGTGTCAAAAAAACTCATCTTGGCAGGGTAAAATAAGCAGAGGAGATAACTTTTGACACCCACCAGCCCCCAGAAAATTGCATCAGATAAAGGAAAAACTAAAAGCAAGGTTTGGTCTCTTCTTCACTGAGAAAAGCCAAGAAATGTCCAGCACAGCTGCTCCCTTCTGTAGTCCCATAGGGAAAAGTTTCTGCTGGAGCTGCAGGCTCATCCTTTGGCTGGTGGGATGGACAACACCCACATGGTGGATGTTGAGGATACAACTCCAGAAAGACAGCTTTGATAGCTGGAATCACATAAAGAAGAACATGAATGTGCAGCATGAGGGAGTTCTGCCATTATGAATATGTTTATAGGTGTGAATATTATTACCAGCCTTGGATTAGGGCTTCATGCATCTATTAAATTCCCTTTGGAAATGAAAGGCAAGAGCCAGACACTTGGCTCAGGGTGTGCAATGTTTCCTTTCCCAGGAACTCAGAGCTCAGTAGGATCTGACCTTGTGTAGTTTAAGACATTAGACTAATTCCATTTAAAAAACACCATAATTGTTTTATTATTTTAAGAGTCTGTCTTTATATAGTCATAGTTTGTATATTAAGCATCCTTGTAATAATATAATAAATATTATATAACATACAATATAATATAATATGATATAATATAATATAGATAATAGTATACCTTCATTTCTTATATAGTGTGCCAAAGAGCTGAATATAGAAGGGAGCAGACACTTGACTTTTACTCAAATAAGGCACCCAATGCTTTTATTTCCCCAAGCAAATATTGCAGCATCGAATGCTCCATTAAAGCAGGGAGGGAGGGATATTTGATGAGGCCTCTCAAGAGAGTTTGGATGAGAGAATGATTTCAGTATTAAATTTAATGCTGTCAGCAGTTTAAATTTATATAAAACTGAGTGCAATTAAATTGAGGATCTTCTGGAAAAACCTCAGCCAGCTCCAGCTCCTGCCAGGGTTGGGAAACAGCATTTCAGTGTCCAGGTGGACAGCAGTGTCCTTTCCAAGGACATTCCTGTGGTCCTGTTCCCCATCCTAGCTGGCCCAAGCTGGGCTCTGCCCTTTGTGGTTCTCAGGGGCAGGTGAGGGCACGTTGTGGCCATTGCCCACAGCTGTGATTGCAGTTTATTGCCCCACCTGGAATTAGCCCTGCTGATCTGGCATGGCACTGAGCAGACTCTCAAGAGCAGCCTTTCCTTACCTTCAGCACTCCCTGGCTGAGTTTTGCCCTGTGCTGGCCTTGGGCCCACGTGGGCAGGGTGGGAGTTCGTGGTTTCAATGGCTTGGCTGTAAAATGTGCCTGAAGAAAAAGGAGAGTGGTTCTGGAGCTGCAGGCTCATCCTTTGGTCGGTGGGATGGACAACATCCAACTGCACATGGTGGATGTTGAGGATACAAATCCAGAAAGACACGTAGCCACAGCTTTGATAGCAGGAATTACATAAGGAAGACCAAGGATGTAGTGAGCTGGGATGAGAATTTGAAAGACATGGAAGAAAATGCTCAATAGCAGAAAGGTTTTAAGAAGAGGAGTTGGGAAACCTGAGTATCAAAGTACCAGAGATAATGGGTTTTGCTCCTTGTGGGTCAGAAAACATCTGTATTTAAAAAGGGACCCCAAATTTCCCTGGAACTGACCCTGAGACAGTTCACATAAGGGAATGTGGAGAGGGTTCAGTTCTGGCATCCTTTTTGGTCCCAAAAACTCTGGATAAGGAGCATGGGTGGCTCTCCTCACATATTGTACAGAGACGGGTTCAAGGAATTTCAGGATGGTTTCCATCAGGACTGGGATCTGCCTGCTTGACTCCTGGCTTCTCCCTGTCAAAATGAGGGTCTGTGGGGAGAGAATATCAGCAAGATTGAGACAGGAGTATGAACTTTCTCTTTGTACTGATTTGGATCTGCCCAGATGAGCCTGATGAGGGCAGGTTCTCCTTTCCCCTCAGCATCTTGTGGCTTGGGCATGGGTTCTCTCTTGTGGGGTCACAGACGGGCCACTGATGGGATGATAAAGAGCCAAATTTGGATATGGGAGTGGAGCTGTGTAATGGGTTATCACAGACATCTTAGTTTCATCTGATTTATTAGCTCTGCTAATTATCCCAATAAATCAGCGTTTGAATGGAACTTGGCATTGACACTAAGTATGAAGGACTGGCACTACTGTCGGGGAGCTAACAGGGAAGATCCAGCTGCAGATGCCAGGGAATGAATGAGACTTGACAAAATGCAATCGAAATTGGGAGATAGAAAAGCAATATGACATACTCTGAGAGGATGGAGCTCCCTGTGTGTTACTACTTTGTAGTCATCACATTGCCAAGAGCATCTTCAGCATGAGCAACAACTGCAGGTGATTCCTGTGGGCAAGGAGCAAAGGTGACACACACACTGCTGGCTCAGTGCTTTTGTACATTCTGTGAAATTTGCTGCAATAAAAACCACATGGAAATCACACAGAACAAAGGAAGCAAAGGCAGCAGTGAAGTTCCTGTGCTGCAGACTGGGGTAAGCAGGTTGCAGGTGCAGGTTACCGTGCTGAAATCTTGGTGTTCTTCAGAAACAGTGCAGAATCCTTTTTCGACCGAATGCAAGGTTTCCTTCCCCACATTTCCAAACAAACAGTAATCTAATGACTGGGAGTAAAAAATGACATCACCTGAGCACATCCAGTCAGCAACTGAAACAAAACCATTTTGGTGACAGCCTGCAGAGACCATCAAACAAGTGAAAATGTGAAGCAGCCCGTGCTCTAACAACAGCCAGGTTTACACCGCTGCTGGCTTTGCTGGCTCACTCCAGCTCACATGCTCCACCCTTCTGGGTTTGCCTTTTTTTTTTTTTTTCCAGCCTTTGCAATCTGACAGAGGCGGGTGAAAGCAAGTTGAGGGAAAGGACATTCCCCTGAAGAGCAGCTGGAGAGCAGTCCTCCAGCCTGTCTGTGCTAAGCAGAGGACAGCCAGGAACCTTCCAGGCTTTAGCCTAGAACCACCCCCAAGGCCTGGAGGCACACTGGCACTAGAACTGATTTTCCAGGTAAGCCTTTTTCTTAACCCCCGGATCTTGATAGCTGAGTGCTCTCTAAGCAGGAAGTGAAATCTGTCTGGGGACAAAAGACAGCAGAAATGGTGTAAGGGCAGAGCAGGGAGCTCAGCTGCTCGGTGTTGTAGATACGCTGCTTTATTTATTTATACTCAGTTGTGAGCCTCAAGCTACTCGGGCATTTGTGCCATCTGCCTCATCTCAGCAACCCCCAGGAAAACAGCCCTGTAAACACCCTCAAGAGATGGACAGACAGACAAACCCACACCAACATTTTCCCTGTGAGTAAAAAGTTATTGCACATGTTCTGCTTGCTGTGGCGGAGGCAAAGGAAGGGAGAAAAAGGGAAAAACTGGTCTAACTGGGATGCTGGTTTAAAATTCACACAACAAGAACTAAGCTTGTGCCAAGTTCTCAGAAATGAATGGAACTGTAGTTCTGGGAAAATCCTGGGAACAGCCAAAAGCTGAACAAAGAGAACCTCCTGACTCTGATGCTCTTAACCCCTTCGTGGATCACTCAGGCCTGCTCCGATGTTGAGACACAGTGGTGGCCATGATCAATAGTCAGAGTTCTGTAAAGCCTCTATCCTAAAGGTTATGTGGGGACCCAAACCGTGGCAACCCCTGCTTCTGACAGGATATTACGCCAAATGGGAATTTTTCATTGTCTTTGTTTTGTTTATGTACTGAAAATACCTTTCCAAAATTCCCATACAATTTTGGATTTGCCATTTTTCATCAGATTGGGAATATAATCCTGTTGAACAATTGGATATTTTAATTTTACTTTGGGAGTTGCATACAGGAACTTGAGAGCATTTTTGGACCTCTTGCGTCAATAATGGGAACAACATTGCTCCATATTTACAGATGTCTGAAATTTAGCAGTGCCTGGGGAGAAATAACAAAAGGACTTGGCTCCATCAAAATTCCACTCCTTCCATCAAGAGCTGGGAGGGCTCGAGCTGCTTTCTATCCCTGTGTTTGTGAAATAGCCTTGCACTGAGCCCTCTGCCATCCCAGAGGAGGTCAATGTCTTCTCCCCCGCCCAAGGGCAGCCACCCACCAGTGGGAAGACTATGAACAGAAAGAGGAACTACATCAGAAAAAATGATCACAGAAAATGTGAGGTGATTTAGAACCTGGTGATTTAGACCCAAGCCTTGGTTTCCTCCTGTTGCTGGAGAAGGGCTGTGATTAGCAGGACTGGGGAGCTAAGCTGTGCTCTGGGGAGGCAGCTCACAGCAGATGAGCAAAAACCCTCCCACAGCCTTTTCTGCCCTAAAAAACCCTTCTGCACTCCAGGTCACATCTGTTACCACAGGCACGGAGAGTAGGAGCAGGTGAGACCAGCTCGTGCCTGGCTGCCAAAATAATGGATGAAACACCATGGCAGGACAGATTTGCTTCAGATTTGGTTGCAGAGGAGGCTCTGCATGCCACTGCAAGAGTGGGAGGGTTTGTTTTCTGCTTCTGCTTTGCTGAAACCACGAGCAAAGCAGTTCAGATCTGGGGAGTCTCAGTTCCTATAATTTCTAGCAGGGAAACATCGGGCAGGAACTCTGCTGAAATGTGCTTAGCACAGCTGGAGCCTCTCGTCACAGCTGTAAAAGAGGCAAATAAAAATAACATTTGTGCTCATCAGCAGTGTCCCATTGGTTTCTCTCAGCACTATTACTCAGCTGCCTTTGATATAGATATTAGTCAAATCCTGCTCCTCTTCTGAGCACCCCATTAAAAGGGATGAGGAAGAGCCTTCCACCACTTCTGACACAGCCTATTATTTTTTCCCACCCTTCTCTCAGAGGCAGCATGGACATCAAGGAGTATTTTGCCAGAATTTCTTACCAGGGCTCCCACAATAAGCCGGACCTGGCTACCATGTCAGATATATTCCAGCACCACATCCGAGCTGTGCCTTTTGAAAACCTCAGCATCCACTGTGGAGAAAGAATTGAGCTGGACCTGGAAGCAACCTACAACAAGATAGTGAGGAAGAAACGTGGGGGCTGGTGCATGGAAAACAACAACCTGCTGTCATGGGTCCTGAAAACTCTTGGCTACAACGTCACCCTTCTGGGAGCAAAAGTTTATGTCCCAGAGTTTGATGCCTATCCAGAAGAAACTGATCATCTGCTGCTACGAGTGGAGCTTGATGGCAAATCCTACATTGTGGATGGGGGATTTGGGATGGCCTACCAGCTGTGGCAGCCAATGGAGCTGATTTCAGGGACAGATCAGCCTCAAACTCCTGGGGTCTTTCGTTTTCAGGAGGAGAATGGGACCTGGTACCTGGAGAAAGTGAAAAGGAAGCAATGGGTCTTGAACCCAAGCACCTCGACTTCCCCAAATGTGGAAAATGAAGTTTGCCGTCGGATTTATCTCTTTACCCTTCAGCCACGAGACATTGAGGAGTTCAGGGGCTGCAATTCCCACCTGCAGACAGCACCTGACTCTCTCTTTGTGACAAAGTCCATCTGCAGCCTGCAGACTGCTGATGGCATCCGGGCACTGGTGGGGTGGAAACTCACAGAGATAAAATACAATTATAAGGACAATATGGATCTTGTGGAAATCAGAATCCTTGCAGATGAAGAAATAGAGAAAACACTAAAGGAGAAATTCAATGTAACACTAGACAAGAAATTTGTACCTGTCAATACGAGCAGGTTATCTCTGTTCTAACTCACTGCCTGGATTACAATTCAATTCAGTGGCATTACAGGCAATTCTTCCCTCTCTTTCTGACAAGCATCCAAAGGTTAATCTTTCTCCTTCCGACTACACCAGTGTAAGGCAGAACATACTAGCAAGAATCGGGAAAACAAATAGATTTTCACAACTATTCCTGCATTTCTTTTTAGGTTGGGTACAAATAATGCCTGCCAAATTCAATCAAATCATTACCCTTCTGTTTTGTGCTTAGCAGGAAGCAGACTCAGCCCATTCCTTACTCCTTTCATCTCTTAAAAGCTTTTCTGAACACAACCAGTGTAGCTGGGCAGAATGATGGAGCTGTATGTCTTGGTCTTTATTACCTGGTGCTGCCACCTTGGGAAAATGATACCTGCCTCTTAAATGAATACTATATTATTTTGGGAGTGTAATAGCCAAAACCACAAAGACATCCTGTGCTGAGTTCCTCCAGTCAAGCCATAAGCCTGTTCTCTTTGCTCTCACATCCCCAACAGCCTCTCACATGGCACTCAGGCCATCCCACACCTGTGCAAAGTCACCATGTGGCCACTTGAGGACAGGTTATTTATGACTCAGAACTGAGGACAAGAAATGTTATTGACAATTCTGTGTTGTTTCAGACTTTGCACAGCTCCTGTTCTCTCAGTGACATAACCAAAGAGCAGCATTTCTTTGAACTGAAAGCATCTCCTGAGCATTTTGTTTGCTTCCACTCCGCAGCAGACTGCTGGGAATACATGTTCCTCTCCTCAGACTCTACTCTGGGTGTTATTGCACGTTAATTATTACAGCAGAACCCAAACACATGCACAGAATTCTTTTTGTGAAACATATCTGTTCTACTGAGGATGTGTTTGCAGTGATACTAATTATATTGATATAAGGGGAAATGATGAATCTTAATCACATACCTAAGGGCTAAGATTTCTAGTAGCAGAAACGACTCAAATGTGACCCCTTTGCCCTTTGAGAACATGCTTGATGTTCCTTTATGTACAAATCTTGGAAGCATTACAACTACGCACTTATAATTAAGCAAATTAATGAATTACAATTAAATAAAAAAAATCAAGCACTGTGAACTGGAATTATTCCGATTTTCCCCCCATGTATCCCCATAGTAAAAAATAAATGTCATTAATCACTGAAGTTGTCCTGATTATTTGTAAGTGCTAATATTTTCCATCTAAGGCTTCTAAAAAGACAATAACTCACTAAACCTTTTTCACTTGTTATGCAGCACATACAGCTTTCTAGAACTAGCAGTTCAGATTTAATAAAAGCTGCTTTTCTGCATCTTCAAAACCTATTTCTTAGAGACACAGCAAGCTCTTGAAATCCCTGTCTTCCCAGAGTCATATTGACTTACATGTGCTTGGCTGCAGGAGTAAAATAGGTCCTTATAGCTCATGAGGCTCTCCCATGCTATGAGAAAGTGCAATGAGGTTGTAAAAGAAGGAGAGGTTTCTTATGGTGTGGAGCAGCAGTTTGCAACACAAATGATCAGAAGAAATTGTCCCAGGATGTGGCTTGTTTATGACCTGTGTTTTTCCGTGGCCCCCAAATTAGTGGGAGAGCTGAAGGAGCTAAACTCAGTGGGTCAGCAGGGACAAAGCACTGGGATGAGGAGAAAGTCCAGGCAGGTCTTGTGAAGTTGTGGAGGAGGAGAAGATCCACACAGAGCCAAGAATCTCCATCCTTTGTGGGAACAAACATAGGAAACACCTCAAAAGGGCTGTGCCCACTCCTCTCTCCCTGTGTCAGGGTGTTTCCTGCACTTTGTGCTGGTCTATAGGCTCAGGGGAATGAGTCCAGAGCTATAAAATCACCTTTAAATTCAGAAATAAGGAGTTATGTCCATTGCCCCCGAGATGCAGCGTGTGGAGGGCAGGAACAGGGAAAGGCTCTTTTCTTTCTGCTGACTCATCTGGAGCATGTGCACAGCTCAGAGCTCCTGCCCCCTGCTCACCACAGAGGCACAGTGCACTGCTGAGCAATACCATGGAACTTGCTGTTGGAAGGACAAAAAAGAACAGGAAAAAAAAAATTCTCTTTTCAGATTGCATTAGTTTGTTTCTGTCCTTATCACTAACTTTGGAGGCAAATACTTAAAGGCACAGCAGGTTCAGGGAGCTCAGATTTCTCTGGGGGCAGCATCTTCTCTTTCGAAGGACAGGGCTTCTCTTTGAACCCAAGGGAATTTAGGTAACTTGTGTGACTTGGCAAATCTGACCTTGTTGCTTGGCGGGGCTGGTGTCAGCCACGAGGAATAGCTCAGTGTGTGGAGTTCAACAGCTGCCATCCCCACCAATAAATCAGTGACTTCCTGTCCTGGATCACTCTCTGTCTATCATAAGTCACTTCCCACAGGGATCCAGACACATCAGTGTCAACAATATAAAATCTGCATCATTTTTGCACAAGTTCTTTGCTGCTTTAGCGTGGGAACATCCACCAAGGTGCCCCAGACTCTGAAGCCCCAGGGTGACCTGCAGGGTTGAGGATGGGTTTATAAGTTAAAACCACTTACAGAAGTTGCTGATGATTCCCATGATTTGCACTCCTGGTGGGTTCAGCTGCCATTCAGTGATGTGGAAGGTTAACATCTCCTCAATATTGTAAACAGTTTGGGGACTGGATCATTTCCAGGCTCTCTGTGCAGCACCTAACACAACAAATTGCTTGACAGGGCTTTCCACACATATGCCAATACAAATAAAGCAATAAAACCATCAGAATAGAAACAACTATTAAAGAAGAAACTCTCTGCCCTCTTTGGCTGCTGTGCTGGAGGATAAAGCTGTCCCTGGCAGGCACTAAAGGCTGCCTGGACCTTTAAGAGCTGCAATTGCCAGTGCAGCTCTTCCTGGGACCTTTGGAACAGCCCAGGGTGGAAAGCCTGAGCTGACTGCCTGCGAGGTAAGCTCTGCACGCCTGATCTTTAACTTCATCCTGCAGCTTTGGGCCAGCCCTGCTGGGAAAGCCTTCCCCTGTGAGTCTGCACACCCTGTGCACAGCACTGCAGGTGTATTAGCAAAGCACAAACTACAGGAACCCCAGGGCTGATGGTGAGTGAACATTGCAAGGGCATTTTCCAAGTGCAACATCGAGTGTTTGAGAGTGAAACTAACCCTTTATTTTGAGCCAGAGTGTATGAAAAATGCAGCTATTGACTCACAGTGTAACTTGGAATCAAACAAACTGTGTAGCCATATGCAAGAGGATCCAGCCTTAGAAGTGCCTCCTTATTCTCAGCAGAGAACTGATCCTAATATTCAGCCTAATTACAAAAGGACCCAGTGATCCCAAGGGACGTGTGCAGACAGGCAGAACTAACATCTGAATCTCACTGCCCTCAAAGATGCAGGAATGCTGAGCAAAGCTCAGCTGCTGCAGGGGCAGAAGCAAACAGGGCTGAGATCTGGACTGAGGCTCAGGATATTTGGCAACTCAGTTTTGGAATGCAAATTGTCCCCTGGGAGAGGGCTTGCTCACTGCTGCAGCCTCATGGCTCACACAGCAGGAATGGCTGTGCCAAGGAAAATCTGCCTCCAGGAAAGCGAGGGAGTAAACACTGATTTATGTGGATGCTCCCTAATGTCAGTGATGTTGTAGTGCATCTTTATTATATTTAAACCTCTTTAAGTATTCATTGAGACCAGAGCGTGTGTTGTCAGGCACCACAAGGCTGTCTCTGAAGCAGATTTTAAATTGATGAGGCCAGAGAAGGGGCAGCTGGGGAAACTGAGGCATGGGCAGGGAATTTCCCAATATATTTTCCCAAATCCTCATTGGCAGCACCCCATGGGGTGGATGAAAGGAGCTGGTTTTATTCTTTGCTTTCCCCATACAATGGGGACACCCAGACCCAGGAGATGGGTTACAGGGGGGGCATCAGGCCTTCTGCTGCTGACCCAGGGCAGGGACTGATCTGGTTTCGCTTGAAGGCAAATTCCAAGTGTGTCAGACCCACCAGACTGATGCCTGGACTTCTCTGGACTCCTGCTGGTCACAGAGGTTCAGCTCCATACCCTCATGGGGTAAAGATGTTTCTATTTTCCTATGTAAAATAGCTGAAAGTGGGAGTAGAAAGAAAAATGAGGCAGAGGAGCATAGGATGAGCCTGCCAGTGAACACGTGTGCTGTGAGTTGGAAGGGAAATGGCTTTCTGCAAGTGTTACCAAGGAGATCCTGCCAGAGATGAGGCCCTTGTCCTAAAAAAGAGTTGGAAAAAAAATCATAAAATGCAGTATCAAAGAGACATTACTGTTTTTTCATGTAGACTCTTTGGTTCCTTTTGAAGTGATAATGTTTATTTCTTATTCTCTTACTGGGATGATCTATTCTATCAAATTTTCCTGTGGGTTTGCATTATCTAGTCTGAATGTTGGTACTAGTGGAGATCAGGAATAATACAACCAAGTCATGTGAGTTGTGCTGCTGGCATCAAGATTGGGGTTAAAGTCTAGAGATTAGGTCATTGGATGTGCTGATCTGCTCAGGTGGGGGCACTTCCACCCGTGGATTTGAGGTAGGATTTTCACAAGTCATGGACATGGGGTCAAACTGCTGGACCAAAGCTGAGAATAGTCAGTGGAAGGGAGTTTGTCCCATCTCATCCACATCAAAGGATTTTTGGAAAATCCTCCCAGGGAACATTCACCCAGTTGAAGGAAGCAAGAAGTCCTCAGACTTTCTGGAAATTAACATAGCCCTTAACAGATTGTGAATTGTTCTGAACAACAAATATCCTTGCATGGAGAAAAGCCAAATTAAATCTAAACTAAGGGCAAAAGAAATCCTTGCAGAGAGATGATGAGTCACTGAATTAGAAGCCTTACAGGGAACCTTTTGTCTCTTGGCCACACAACCAGTGCCAATGACAGTGTCTTTCTGCTAATGAAAGAGGATCAGAGATACAGACAGAAAAACCACAAAATATTCCCAATAATTTGATCTGAAACTAAAGCCTTTAGTTTGTAAAAGATGGTCAAAGAAACAAAAATATTATGACTTGCCTTTCATGTACTTTTAGATCAATTCCTTTGATCCTTAGGTTAGAAAAATTGAAGTCCCTTTCTTTCACAGTCAAAGCCCTGTCTAAACTCCTCAGGGAAATTTAAGAGATTAAGAAAACAATGATCTACTTCACATGGAAACCTGTTTGAAATGGTGACACACCGAGATGTTAATCCCAGTTAACTGAATCCATGAATGCAAAACCTTCCAGTTAAATTACCTGTGGGATAAAGAAAGAATTGCTTACCTGGTACAGTAAAAGAAACAGCAAGATACTGCTGTGACTTTTATGCTGCTATGGTGTGGTAGCTTTTCTGCAAACCTGTTGTGTCTTGATTTTTGAAAAATTTTGTTATGTGGGATCCTCCTCTGTGGCCAGAGATTCTGTTATGGCATGTGCTGTGTCTTCCCATGGGAAAAACATCCTCCTGGTTTGAAGGCAGCCCCTGGGAGAGGGAAAGTATTATTGCTACCTGCTCCTGTCCCTGTCTCTTTTCAAAGAAATACTCAAAATTCTTTTAAATCCTCAATAAGACAGCCCAGAGTACATTTGCAGGCTGGTTAACCTGTGCTCCAGAAACAGGAGTGAACCCCTTGTCAGCTGCACAGCAGTAACTGGCTACTTTTCTGCTCACACAGGCAAAATGAACATTCAGGAGTATTTTGGAAGAATATCTTACAACAAGCCCCATAAGGATGCAGACTTGCAAACCCTGACAGCCATCCTCCAGCATCACATCCAGACCATTCCTTTTGAGAACCTCAGCATGCACTGCGGGGAGCCCATCGAACTGGATTTGCAGGCTACTTACAATAAGATTGTGAGAAAGAAACGTGGTGGATGGTGCCTGGAAACCAACCACCTCCTCTTCTGGGCCATGCAAGAGTTAGGGTATGACGTCTGTATTCTTGGTGCAAACAGCTATGAACCAGCAGAGAACGGATACACTGCTCAGCTAAACCATGTCCTGCTGAAGGTGGTGATCAAGGGACAGTCCTACATAGTAGATGCTGGGTTTGCTGGAGCCTACCAGATGTGGCAGCCGCTGATGCTGATTTCTGGGAAGGACCAGCCCCAGGCTCCTGGCATTTTCCGCTTCACGGAAGACAACGGCACCTGGTACTTAGAGAAAGTGAAAAGGAAGCATTATATTCCTGAGCACTGCAAGAATGACTTCCCTCATACTCCAGAACTGGGGAATATCCGAAAAATACATAAATTTACTCTTGAGCCACGGCATATAGATGACTTCCAGGAGATAAATACATACCTCCAAGTGTCTCCAGATACCATCCTTTGGAAGAAGTCAATATGCACTCTCCAAACCACCAAGGGGGTCCTTGCCTTAGTTGGATGGACCCTCACTGACATGAAGTACAACTACATGGAGAACATGGATCTGGTGAACATCACAACCCTTACAGATGAAGAGGTTGAGAAGACACTGAAAGATAAATTCAATATAGTACTGGAGAACAAACTTGTACCAGTAAATGTTCGTGGCTTGCCACCTAATTTAGTGGATAAGATCTAAGTGTAACACTGTGCTAGATGGATCTTTAAATAGCCAAGAGGAAAATTCTAAAATTAACATTAATTACAATAATCTAATTTTTAACTCGAGGTAGTCACAAAGCTTGGTAAATTCCAGTATACTGCTAATTAACTGCAGATATCAATTGCATATTTTTTATTAAACCTCTCCTTTAGAAACCAAGACATCTTACTAGCTCTGTTTTGTTCATATGGAAGCTGTTTTTTGACTCCTTAACTTTTTGTTCACCTTCTCAAGAACTCATTTTATTGCAGATATATTTTGAGGCAAATGAGACGAAAATTATGCAAAAGGAGAGGTTGTGCTACCATTTTACAGAAAAGACATCTAACTTTTTTCTGGTATTATTTCCAAGCTTCTCAGTGACTTTTACAAATTATTCACTTCCCTTAACAGTCCTAAAGTTGAGCTGAATTAGGCTTTTAAATACTGTAGAAAACAAGAAAGGTTAAGACTTTTTCAAAACAAGCCACCATTAGGTGCTGATTAGCTTATGAAAAATTGAAAGACTTAAGTCCTGTTCCCTTTTCAGAAATTGACTTAAAGTAAGATATTTATCCAAGGGTACCTAAACCTCCACAAAATCTGTCTAATTTTGAGTACCCACTTTTTCTGAGTCTGATTTATCTGTGTCTCTGAATTCAAAATAAAATTGGTAGAAGATGAGATGATTCAACAGTTCTTTTTGTACCAAAACTGGAAAAAAAGTTCAATCTTTGAAAAAAGATCAATCTTTGCAAAGTATAATTTAAACTTTCGGGACCATGCCTTCATGTGATGTCAAGAGGAGATGATGGTATTAAAGACAAAATCTTCATATTTATTACAAACAGTATTCTGCACAAAAGTTACCTTAAAACACAAAACAAACACAAACACAAAAGCTACCTTAAAAAGTGTGGATGCAAAAGAAAGCCCTGGGAAGTGAGGATGTGCCACCAGTGTGGTTTGACAGCAAGATATCCATAACACAGAAGCCTTTTCCATGATGATACCTGTGCTACTGTAGAGGACGTGCCATGAAAAAGGGCGACAGAAGAACATCAGCCAAGGAAAAGACTTTGATTCTTGTTTTAGTCAACTTTGATTCTTGTTTTAGTCAACCACACAGACCTACATGGCACCTGATGTGCCTAAAACTCAGGTGCTTCCCCAGGTGCAGTCTAATGAGCTCTTTGCCTTTCCCAGAAGCCTCTTCTGATATTCCACCTCCATCCAATGACGGGGACTCAGGCTTGATGGGGGAGAATTAAATAAACAGCACTGCAAGGCTGTGAGGCTGCAGGAGGCCAGGTTTTAGAGCAGAAATGCATTACTTCATGCAAATAAATATTTGCCATGGCATTCCTCAGGTGGGGCAGCTCCACAATAACACCTGCTACAGCTGAGGAGTTGAATGGCTTGGAACAGCTCCTGTATGGGCAAAGAAGGGTCATTTTGCGTCCATGGAGCTCAGCCTGCAACACAGCCTGCAACACCTTGGCACCTCAGTGCACCCATCAGGGCACAGATGAACATCCTCCACTGCAAAGTGCTGGTTTGCAAAATAACAATATTGAATTACAAAAAGTTACAACGCCATTTGCAACTGCCTACTGTAATTATTTTACATAGAAAACGAGTTCACTCTGGTCTTAACTAGGGAAAGGCATAAACATCTACTAATAGGAAGAAACAAAGTTTAATTTGCTCACGGATCAGCGAAGTCCAAAAATGTGAATTCTTTTTGGGTGGACTCTGCCCTTTCTTGGAATTTAAGATTCAGGAGCGAGGACCAGCAGAGCTTAGAAAGACAACCCTCACAATCTGTATCCACTCCTGGCTTCACTGACTGCTGCCCCTGTAATAAACCCCCCAGAAACTGAATACCTCAATAAATAAAAAGGGATCTCATAAGAGGTAAGTTTATTTTCTTAAAAAACCCCTCCAAAGAAAGATCCAAAAACCCTGGTTTCTTTATGATGTTAAAGGCCATGGACAATAACGTAAGCAACATTCTCTAGGAAAAATGTTCTAAAAATGTGTGGATATAGAGCTAAAATATCACCTGCTAAACAGGGGCTGTTGAAGAGGGCAAAATAGTGATGTGCAATTTCAATTCTTCTACCTTTCACTCTTCAGGAGAAGCTTCAATTCACTATAAAATAGATTCTTTTGTTTGGGTACAATAGTAGATATAAATTTGGAACTGCAACTTCTTGTTGGAAGTCATGCTTTTAGATACTTAAATTTATTTAAAAGTATTGCAAGTGCAAAGGAAGCAAAAGTACAGTCTAATAATCAATAGATTCTGCTTTAAGGGAATAAAATTACAGCTCTTTAAAAACAACTTAAAAAAATAACAGACTCTGGGTTGTGCAACCCAGGAAGTCCATGTGCTGATGTATTAGGATAAAGAAGATAACATATTTTCAACAGTAGAATTGCTGATACTGTGTATAGTCCTGGTAAGGAATAGGTTTGTATGAACACCTTCATTTTCACCTTTAATATTCTTCTGCTGATGTTTTTCTCTACATAAATCATAACCACATTTGTGGGACGACCTTTTCAGTACCTGCCTTTTCATCTGGTCTGCTCACATTTCAAAAGAACAGTGGCTTTCATCTCCTGCAGTCCATATCTAGTGCTGATCAAGCATATTATGGAGCTGCAGAAAGAAATTACAAATAATACAAACTTGAGAACCAGCTTTATACTGGTGTGATCTATTTAGTATTCACAGTCAGAGTGATAGGATCAGATATTAGATTCTGCAAATCAAAAGTGCCATGACTTTTATGTTACACTTAACAAATATTATTACATTGAACACATACTCCAAAAATACACTTAGATATCACTGGAAGCTAAATTCCTCTCTCTAGCAGGTAATGTGTAGTTTTTGCTGGTGCTCTCTGTTCGTTTGGGACAGCTGCCTCCACACCATGAATATGCACAGCATGAATCTGCCACTGAGAATCATTTTGAGAAATTCCAGTTTGCAGTAAACATTCAGTAGTTCACTGCTGAGTTAAAGGATTGGTGAGTTTTGAGAAAGCTCAGGACCAGAGAGAGTAAAGCAGCCCCTGTTCATTTTCAGGGTGGCTTGTGAGACACAGGGCACAGGAGGGAATGGAGGTGTGCTCCTTGTCTTTTAGGGCACTCACTTCGCTCCATTTGGATCCATTATTGCAACACCAAAATGAGTTTCTACAACACTCTGAGCAGACACAAGACTCAGTGGTCTGTGACTCTTTCAAAAGTCAGTTTTTTCAGCTATAATTATCTGAATAAAGCTTGACACTTTACTTTTCATGTCAACTTTTTGTAAGTGGTGGAAGAGCAAAGTGTACTGAACGAGCAATTCATTTACTGTCATGTCCATTAGTGGCAGACTCATGAAAAGAACATGTGAATCCTGGCTCAGAATGTGCTCCCTCCCACTGGCAGATGACACTGCCTCCCCCAGTGACAGTCCTGTCACTGAGCAGTGGCTTTAGACCATTTCTCATGAACCCTTATACACACTCCCAGCAAGATCTTACATTTCTTAACCCCGCTGTTACAGTGCAAATACAGGAAATCCTCTTCTTGCAGTCTCCTCGTATGAAACTGAAATGGCATCAGCTGTTTGCCAGAGGAACGACTCTAAGACAAAAGCAAACTCTCGTGTGCACTGCTCTTTGCTCAGGGAACCATTTGATAGGAATGCTTGTTTCCTTTAAATGCTGTTCTGATGAGGTTCAGTAGATTAAAGAATCTTTACTGGCAGAGCCAGGGCAGCTTTTCACAGCATCATAAATCACTGATGTAAAGAAACCAAAACACAATTCCTTCCTTTACAGGTGAGATGAACCTTGAAGAGTATTTTGCAAGAACTGGCTATAAAGGCTCCACTGAAAAACAAGATTTGGAAACCTTAACCGATATATTCCAGCATCACATCCGTGCTGTTCCCTTCGAAAACCTCAGCATCCACTGCGGGGAGAAAATTACTTTGGAGCTGGAGCACGTTTACAACAAGATTGTGCGGAGGAAGCGGGGTGGCTGGTGCATGGAAAACAACCAGCTGCTGGGCTGGGTGCTGAAGGGCCTGGGGTATGAGACCAGCTTCCTGGGAGCGTACGTGTTCAACCCCCACCAGAACGCCTACGCCACCCTCATGACCCACCTCGTGGTAAAGGTCATCGTCGATGGCAAAGCCTACATCGTTGATGGAGGATTCGGGGTGTCCTACCAGATGTGGCAGCCCATGGAGCTTGTGTCAGGGAAAGACCAGCCCCAGGCTCCCGGCGTGTTCCGCTTCACGGAGAAAAACGGTGTCTGGTACCTGGAGAAAATGAGACGGAAACAGTACATCCCCAACCAGAGCTTCTCCAACTCTGATCTGCTGGAGAAAAAGGAGTGCCGCAAAGTTTACATGTTCAGCCTTGAGCCACGGACAGTGGAAGATTTCCGTTTCCAGTGCACATACCTCCAGACCTCTCCAGATTCCCTCTTCACAAAGAAGTCCATCTGCACCCTCCAGACCACCGATGGATTCCGAGCGCTGATTGGGTGGACGCTCACTGAGACCACGTACAACTACAAGGAAAACATGGATCTGGTGGAATTTGTAACTCTCGAAGATGAAGAGGTGGAAAAAACCCTCAAAGAGAAATTTAACATCACCCTAGAGAGAAAACTTGTCCCCATAAATGTTAAAGGATCTTACACAATCTAGATGGCCAGGAAAACCTACAGTAATGCTATGTGGATACAGCAGCTTCCACTGTCTGTGTAATCCCTGCTGCAAGGTTATGGGATTCTTTTGCAGGTGACTGAAGGATATATACATTAGTATGAGATTAATGTGAATTTCACTTTGGGAAGAATCAGGAATTTAAGACTCTTGAGCCAGTTAGGTAAAATTATTTGATGGGAGATGACTGCCGTTCAATTTTTGGCACAAATGTAGGATTTGATTTGAATCTGGTTATAAGCTTGGGTAAGAAATATGTCTGGGGAATTTTGGACTGCCTGTAGCACATGAGTATGGATTATTAATTGTGATATGCTGCCAACACATTTTCTAAGGTTATTACAGGGAGACAAGTAATCTGTGAGCATTTAGACAAGAAACCACACATTTAAAACTTCATTTTTCACAAGATCCAACCACTCACAGCTCATCTAATTCCTCTACCTTTAATAAGAGTAAAACATTGTCATCTTGGAAAGGAGCATTAGGAGGCATAATTCTTTCACCATCATCCTTAGACAAACCATAGTACAAAATGAAAATCATCATCTTGTGCATCCCTCTGGCCATTACTGCAGTAAACTGCCCCAAGTAATTTTTGGTATGTAGCTATTCTTCTGTGATGAAAATTCTGTATATTGCAGTGTTATTGTGGCTGATGGGCTCTAAGGAGATAACTATTAAGCTTTGTTTCTGAGGTATAATCACCCTATAAACTGTGACTGGTACTTAAATGTCACAGCTGGCTTAGATTTACTTTTGTCCCAAAAGGGGTGGAAATTCTGTGCTTTTAGGACTGCATTATATTTGTACATGAAGCTAAGCCCACCATACCCTTAATTTTGTCCTGCAAACATGAGTGTCTATATGGCTGTCCTCCATGGGTACCACTTAACACAGGAGCTTTAATGCCATTAGTGTTTGTTCATCTGTATCAAAGTGAAAAAACAACCCAAGAAGCCAGCCAAATCTAAAGGAAACCTTCTCTTTTTTCACAATCATGTTTCCCCATTTTCCAGAAAATGTTGCTCCTCCTACCATTCTTCTCTGCAAAAAGCCCAACCAAGGAAACCACTAAGAAAGGGGAAACATTCTTAAATGCATCAAAAATAGCAGAAACACTAAAAAACATTCTTTCTCCCCAGTCTGTAATAAGCCTGAGCATTGGTCAAATGTTGATTCCTCCCACTGAATAGTCTTTTTGCTCAAAGACATAATCTGATCATTGATCTCACAAATGTTGTAAGTGTACACCTGAAAATAAATAAAAGGAAAATAAAGGCATTATGAGTTGTTTTAGGCACAGCTGCTCCCAGCTGCACCGACTCCTGCACACCCCATCTACCAAGTGAGGGCTGTTCACTCATGCTGATCTGCTGGCCAACCCTTCCTGCCTCAAACTTCTTAGGATCACAGGATCACTGAGGCTGGAAAAGCCTTTTAAGATCACAGAGTTCAACAATCAACCCAACATCACAACCATGTTCACCATTAAACTCTGTCCTTCAGGTGCCACTTCAGGGATGGTGGCTCCACCACTGCCCTTGACAGTCCTCCAGTCCTTTCCAAGCCTGTGAAAAAATTTTCCAAGTATCTAATCAAAACCTTCCCTGGCATAATTGGAGGCCATTTCCTGATATCCAGTCACTTGTTACCTGTTCCTTGCAACCTGTTATCCTCTTGAACTAAACATTGAACAAATGCAGCAGTGGTGTTGGAGACGATGAATTCCTACAGATACCTGGAGGAAGAGGTTGTAGGCTGAGGAATCACTGAAGAGGAGGCTCAGGAGTCATCTCTGCTGGGCTTGGCAGTCAGCAGCTCTGGGCTGATTGTGGTCTGTGCCAGCCCTTCGTGTGACCACCCATGGTGGCATCTCATGGCCTGGGTGCACAGATAGATGCACAGGGATGAGGAACTGAGAGCCGAGCAAGAGGTGACAGGGGACAGTGAAAGACCTTACTGAGGCCAGAACACAGCTTTCCTGTTAATAATGGAATTATGGAATTTGTTCAGTAATTTGTGTTCAGGTTATTCCTTCATATTAATGTCCCATTAAGGGTTTTTACCCCTTTCTAAATAATTGATCATTACAAGGAGCTCCCCGAGACCTCAGGGAACATTACAAGGTTTAAAACACCGATCACCTCCATTCCATCTGATGGGATTCTCATTTACCCAGCTGACCAAACCACATTTCTCTGTGCCATCAACCACAGCTGTTTTCTTGAGGACAGCCATTAACAGGGTGAATATTTTACCTCCCAACTTCCCTAGAGGTTTTCCTGCTGTTGCTCCCAGGTAATTGCTTGGATTTTGGTATGCAAAGGTTTCTTGGGCAGTTATGGGCTCCTATCAGCATTTAACTGGGCCTGCAGTGATGGGACTCACCCAGCTACCCCTTCTACTGTTTGGTTCTTAACAAAGATCTACAGAGCTGCTGGTGATTGAGGCTCCAACCATCTCCCTGACTCCCATCTGTTAATTTTTCATCTTGATGTGACAATTATAAGCAGGTCCTCACGGAGAAACATGAAATCACACAAAGAAATGTCAACACAAACAGCTAAGGAACAGTTTCACAGTTTAACTAAAGCTCCCCAAAAGCTGATGAAAGCAGGTTATTGAGGTGTGAATGCCAGGCCTGAAATCCCTCAGAGGTTTGAGATAAGAATGGTGTAAAACCAAACAAAACCAAACAAACCCTGAGGCCTCATGCTGGGGTTCCATTAGCAAGGCAGTATTGTGGAAGCTTATGTTTTCCCAGCCTGAAAAGAAAACCAAGTCCTTAAAGCATCAGCTCTCACAGAAACTTGAATTCACATGGTAGGGAACTGTGGGATCGCTGCCATCCTTCCCTACCACAATGCTTTATTAGCATTCTCAGAGAAGGGTTTAATGAGAGCCTAAGTGATTTTGCAGTTTTAGTTGTGGACTGTTGTTCAAATGAAGCAAAACAAATGCTGAGAAACCGCCCCCCTCCACCCCCAGACTCATCTAATTCCAAATACAATTTAAAAGTATGGTATTCCAATCAAGAGAAAGACAATTTCTTTTAAAGTCTGAATGCTGGATGAAGTCCCAGAATCTCAGCCCAGCTGCCCATTACACACACAGGCAATGCCCAATGGCAACGACAGCCACCCATGGCTGGAGCATTGCATAATGAGATTCTCATTAGGGAGCAAGACACACAGCACAAGAACCATGGTTCAAACTCCACAGCACCACTGAACATCCTGCCCCTCCCCAAGAACCAAAGTTTAATCAGCTCAAGCATTACTAAATTCACACTGGATGGCTCACTTCAGTTGGACTCTGGTCCTGGACTTTTTAAGATCCAATACTAAGCAAAATAGAAGCAAAAGAGAAACATCAGCAAGAAAGACAAAGTTGTTCAACACTTCCATATTTTCAAGCCCAGCAGTTATTACAAAATAAGCACCACCAGCCTGCCAAAGGGAGGGACCAAACTTCACATGATAAGGGACAGACATACGTGAGCTGTCAAGTGAGCACCACCTACCACACTTCAGGGTCACAGGCAGGAACACTTCTGGTGTCTGGTAACACTTCAGCAATTTGCAGGTAGCCATTTTCTGTAATAAAACCACTACTTACCCAACTTGCTTCTGTGTTCAAAGAAGAAACACTTTTCATTTAGAAACATGACCACGTGGGAAAGTGCTACAGCTTAGGAGCTTGCACATAAAATGTACTGGAGCCTGTGTCAGAGCCAAGAAATCAAAGCAGGTTTGCTTTATGAATATTTCACTGCTAGGCTTACACCTCTGTCAAGAGTAGTTCAAGCATAGATTTTATACAGCAGAATGTTTCTACCTCAGGTAGGAAGCTCGAGTTGGACTTAAATCCATCCATAAATGTATTTATACCATTGGAAGTGCAGACATGTATTTCAGAACACCCCACCATGTCTGCTTGTAACTCTGTACTTAAAGTACATTTAAAAAGTCACACAGGGCTGAGTTTTGGTTTTGTCTTGCTCACAATAACACACTATGGATGGTGCTTTTAAAGGCACATTTTGCAAATGCCCTATGAATAAAAGATTGTGCTAAAAATAAGTAGCTGGTTTTACTGTAGCACTGAGCCACCAGCTGAATGTGAACAGCAAAGCTCCCAGATTTAAAGACAATAAACTAAAATCTACCTTTTCTTCACAGTTTGTTCAACACAGTTCTGTTGAAACAGAACCAACCTTCCTCTCTCCCATTTTCCAAATCGCAGATTTTCTAGGAAGCTGTTTAGCTTCTCACGTGCTTATCCATGCACCGTGCCACTCTCATGTCCAGGTATCCCTCAGGAAATGACATGAAATTAAGGAGGCAGAATGCCCATTGATGAGAATGACTCCCCACTGGACTGAACAGAACCCTGCAATGCAGGAGAGCTCTCTGCAGAACCCTGAAAAAGGAAGACTCCACATAGAATTCATCTCAGCCACTGCTGTTACCAAAATAACCCAAAACCTTCTTTACATGGCACCACTGGACACTTCCCCAGCCCACGGTCTCTCAGGACATGCAACTGCAGTGACATCTCCTGGCTGCTGGTGGTTCACCAGAACACACCTCACCCCTCACTTATTCAGCACGGCTATGCAGAAATTCACTCTCCATTTAAGAAATACATTCAAAGGAATCATTTTCCTACTAATAAGCAAGAAGAATAATGGGATGTGTTCCAAGTTTTTCTTGTGATGACCAACAATAAATCATTTCATAGCTCAGGTCACATCTTCCATGGGAAGAAAAATGTCTTGCCATCATTAACTCCTTTTCAGCTAGCAGTAATATATGATCAGGTTTTAAGTAATTGAACCAGTAGCATTTAATTAGCTCTGAAAAACTACCTCAGATCATGAATCACAGCTTTCCACCTGCACAAAGTCCCCTTACTAGGTTAAAAGTATATTTCTCTTTCCATGTGTGATCCATCTTGAATATCTAATTAGGTGCTCCTGATATATGGATCATAGTTCATGTATCACAAGCAAAATACAGCAGACACAGTGTGTCCTTCTTTAAACAATTGAGTTTCACATCTTGCTTCACTGAGCTGTTAAAAAAAGACCAAAAAAAAGCCTCATGCCCCTGGCAAAATAGCCACTCCTTGCTTCAGTTAACAAATTCCTTTCTGCAGAGAGCCAGCATTAAGGATGAGTAGCTTGGACATCCTGAGGAAATGTAGCAATAGCAATATTTCTTGTTGAAAGGCTGTACACAAAGAACTGCTATGATTTTAGACAAGAACACACTGATGTTTTTCAAAAGACCCAGAGCACCAACTGACCAAAGAGAATGGTGTTTCTATCCTAATACTACTTCAGATGGCTTCATCAGATGCTAAATAAATTAGTGCACTCAGTTAAATGCTGGGGGCCATCTGTGGCCAGCACAAAAACAGGATCTCTCCTTGTATCAGACTGTATTAAGCATAATTTTTTTACACTAAATAAACTAATCCACAATCATTAACACAAAACAGTTTTTATTCTGCTTTCAAGTATGTTTCCGAAACTGTTATTATGCTTTTATGACAAGACTTACATAATTATAAGATTGGATTTTTTTGCTGAAAAAGAGGCAAAATTAGCAAATTTCTTTTGGAAGGCAGAAACTAAGATTCACAATCTGCTCAGATGTCAAACTGTAAACGTTGCCCAGTATTTGGCTTGCTGTATAAAAAAAAAAGTTTCACTACAAAATCCTCTATTTTTAAATAAACTTTATAAAAAATAAAATTCAATAAAGTGGATTTTATCTCTCTGTTCTTCTCCCATCTTATTTTTAGCACAGTAGAAAAGATCACAAACCAAGCATGTTTCTGCTGACTTTTTTCAATTTGAAGAGAGCACAGGTTTCATTTTCATAATAAAGCAAGCAGTGAAAGCTGAACTGCCTTACTGAATTGGACACAACTTTCCTCCAAATACTTCTTTCAGATGTTATCCTAAATTGTAAATAATGCTGCTTTTGATTGCATGCAACACTCAATTTAACTATGCAGAACATTTAAAGAGACTGATGGGATGAGTGCCCCACTCATGAAAAGCTGCTGAGAGAGGAAAGGATGTACAACATCCATTACATAAACACCCACTTTGGAAAGTGTCTCTCCTGTGGATGGTAGAAATTTCAATGAGAATAGAACAGATTTACAAATCCACCCTTTACATAAAATAGCAAAATCTCCAAACAATCTCCAGTTCTTGGTACTCTGTTT